CTCTATCTGAATAAAAAATGGAAAATGTCCTCGGGTGAGGATAAAAATAAAAAATAAAAAGAGAGAGAAAGAAAGCAAAGCGAATGTGATTCAAGGAATTAATGACAAAAGTGTTGGGAGGGACTGTAATTCAGACAGGATTGAGTTGAATTGAAGGAGACCCGAAGAATTGCTTGGTGGGGAACATCCCCCCAACACTTGGTGTCAAAGAGAAGTGTTCTGTGTGAGTAGTGGAGACAGACTCAGAAGAGACAGAAACACAGGAGGGAAAACTAGTTTTCAACTCAGACCCAAATCCACTGTTGCAGAAGAATGAGTAGCACTGGGATGTACAAACTGGACAGGAAGAGCTCATGGAGAGACCTCGTGTAAAACAGACCTGTGCTGCCCACAAACGTTTGTACATCATGACCTGCAAGAACAGCATGCTGAATCCATCTCTCAGACAAGAAGGGCAGAAGGAGCACTTTCAATTAAACTCTTCCTTTGCATGAGAGTTTTTCATTTTATTAACATCCTGATAGTTAAAAAAAAAAAAAAAAAGTCTCTTATCACTGTTCATGGTTAGAACCTTTTTCCTTCAAAAGTTTTCATTCTTCAAAAAGTTGTTCCTATCCTAGGACAGGCCTTACATGAGAGACTGAAATGTAGAGCTGAGCGGACAGGGTGTGCGAACCCCTGAGCCTGGGTGGTAGCCAAAGAGCAGCTGTTTGTGGATTGAGCTTGAGCTTGCTGCTGTAGTATCCACATACATGCACGCATGCATGGCCCCCCCTCACACTGTGGGATGGAGCCAGATGTGGAAAGAAGTGGGGGGTGGGGGGGAGTCAGGCATGAGCAGGGACCAGGACCATGTCTTCCAGTATTACCAGGTTCTGGCATGGACTTCCTGTGAGTCTGAGAATTCCAAATATCCTGTCTTCCAGGTCATCCTTATAGTGTGTACTTGTAAGGTAGGAAGATTGACATTTTATTTAGCAGCCTCTTGGCTGCTAACTGTAGACACATGATAGCCATTTAGAATTGCCCTACAGCTACTAGATGTGGGCCTGCTTTTTAGCCAAACATATTTCTAAAAAAAGCTTCTCAGTCTGACTCTTCTCCAGATCTTCTCTGTTGAGGGTTTACCTCTTGGGTTGTCCCTTAAAATATTCTACTCAGTTCTTTTGTTAATTGGTTTGTCAGTCTTTCTACGATTAATTTGTAATTCCTTGTATACCCCGATCTGGGTTCTTTGTCAGACACGTGCGTACGTGCACACAGGCACTTGCAAGCCCACACCCACTCAGACATCATGTCCTGTGGCTTTCCGTTTCATTCTCTTGGCAGTGTCTTTTGAGGAGTGAAAATTCTTCATTTTAAAGTTGCCTATTTATTTCTTTTTCTTATTCCTAGAGACTTTTGTGTTCTTTTATTTATTTTTATTTTTTTATCCTCACCCAAGGGCATTTTTCCATTTTTTGTTCAGATAGTGTGGGAGGGAGAGGGAGGAAGAGAGAGAGAGAAACATTGACGTGAAAGGGACACATTGAGTGGCTGTCTCCCACACAACCAACCAGGGCCGGAAACAAACTACAACCAAGGCACATGCCCTTAGTGGGAACCGAACCTGGGTCTCTCTGGACCACAGGCTGACGCTCTAACTACTGAGCCAAACCGGCCAGGGCCTTTTATGTTCTTTTATTTATTTATTTATTTATTTTTGTTGTTGTTTATTTATTTATTTTTTTATGAATTTATTTATTTATTTTTTTTTTTGTTACAGATATTTTACCTTTTTACCCCTTTTATGTTCTTTTAAACAAATGTTTACCTAGTGTAAAATCATAAAGGTTTCACTCCCATTTTCTTCTAAAAGCTTTATTGTTTTACCTTTCAAATTCAGAGGCTTAGAATGCAATGACTGACATTGATTTTGTGTGTGGCAGAGGTTGAGATTAATTTTGTCTCCCAATGGATATCCATCGACCCAGCTCCAGTTTTCAAAAAGTCCATCCTTTTTCCCACTGATGTCACCTTCATCATGAACCAAGTGACTATATAGATGTGGGTCTCTTTCCATTGGTCGATTTGCCTCACCTGTGCCCAAACCATACTTTTACAATTACTACAGCTTTGTAGTAAAATACTGTTTTCTAGGTCTTGATATCTGATAGTGTGAGTCCTCCTACTTTCTTCTTCAAGATTGCCTTTGCTATTCTTGGCCCTTAGCTTTGGGTATAAACTTTGAATTGCCTTGTCAATTTCCACAAATAGTTTTGCAGCCATTTTGTTTGGTATTGCATTGGATCTACAGGTTAATTTGGCAGCACTTGACAGCCTAGGATTCTGAGTCTTCCCATTAAAACCATGGTATATTTTTCCATTTATTCTGTCTTTAAATTTTGCTCTCAATTACATTTTGTAGTTTCAAATGTAGGCACTGCAGTTTTCATTAGTCAGTCATTATGTTGTATACCTGAAACAAGTATAATGAAATATGTCAAGTATATCTCAATTTTAAAAAGTGTGTTACAGTTGACCCTCGCCACTTCGCGCTTGGACATTTGCGGCTTCACTCTATAGCAAAAGTCGAAGCCCGAAGTGGCCAGGGTCAACTGTATATAAATAACGACCCACGGAAATTCATTAATCGGGGTAGAGTCTGGAATTGGTTAACCGCGATAAACGAGGGCCGACTGTACTTAATTTCCAAGCAGCTTAATTCCACTGAGATCAGAGAAAGTGTTCAAAATTATTTTGATCCTTTGAAATGTATTAAGGCTTGTTTGTGACCCAGCAGATAATGTGTCTTGATAAATTCCTTATGTCTTTGGTTCCCCTATTGGTACTGATTGTATGTCCTGCCTCCAGGAAAAGTAGAAGGCATGCTCAGATTCTAGGGCCCAGACTAGGGAGAGATGGACATCACTTTGTTTACATTCTGTTGACAAGAATGTATATGTCCACATGGCCCCGCCTAATGCAAAGGGGATGGTAAGCTGAATTCTTACAGGGTGCTCCCTTTGTACCATCTCAAGAGAGCTTCAGGGTGTCCCACACAATCTTCCAGCTAAGAAACTCCACTTGGGGAGGGGGGAGTCTCTCTCCATAGCTCTGGTAGAAAAATTCCAAAGAAAACCAGATTGGCCAGATTTGAATCACTTTTCTATGTTAAACCAATCACCATGGCAAAAGAAATGAAGTAGTACTGTTGGGCTGAGGCTGGTTCCCACAGATCCGCTGGAGGGTTGAGGAAGCTGGGCACTGTCTCCTAACTCTTATCTCTGCTAGATGGCGGGCTGCGGGACTGGGAGCACCGGAGCTCCGCAGCACTTCTGAGCCAGCCCCATTTCTTCTCCAGCAAGCTTCCCACAGCCCGTGAACACCTTCGGGTGGTGGTGGAGCTGGAAGCCCTTATGCCAAACAGACACTTTCCCACCCCGGGGGGAACATAGTCAGAAATGGGAGAGAAAAGGGCACCTTTACAATATTCGAGGTCGATACCTGCACACAGGTAGCTCAGGACCACATCAGGAGGTCCCGGAGTATTCTTTCTGTAAAGAAGAGTAAATGCTAAGCAAAATAAGCCAATCAGAGAAAGACAAATATAACATGATCTCACTTATTTGTGGAATATAATGAACAAAATAAGCTGAAGAACAAACTAGACCCAGAAACATAGAAGTAGGGTACAGACTAACCCAGAAGGGAAGGCGGGGAGGGAAGAGATAAACCAAAGAACTATATAAGCATAACCAATGGACATAGACAACAATGTCTTTGGGGGGCGGGGCGGGATTGGGAGAAGAGTGTCAATGGGGGAAAAGGGAGAAACATCTGTAACAAAAATAAATCAATAATAATAATTTTAAAAAGAAGAGTAAAGCCCTGGTGGATTTGGCTCAGCGGTCAGAGCATCGGCCCTCGGACCAGAGGTTCCCGCTAAGGGCACATACCTTGGTTGCAGTTTGTCCCGGTTGGTTGGGGCCAGGTGGGTGGCAACCAGTCAATGTGTCTCTCTCACATAGATGTTTCTCTCTCTCTTTCTCCCTCTCTCCCTCCTGTCCTGCTCTGTCTGAAGGTAAATGCAAAAATGTAAAAGAAAGAAGAGTAAAAATGTGAGGCACATGGCTGACCTGGATAATTTATGAGGGAGGATAGGAAGTTTCTTTGTACCTCAAATGCACCAAAAATTCTAAGGGACTGGAAGGAATTACTCCCCTTCTCAGAAGGGAAAATCGAGGCCTGGAGAAGGGAAAGCAAGGACCCAAAGCCTGTCGGTGGTGGGGCGGGCAGTGGGTTCCGGACTCTTGGGGCCTGCATGAAATCATCCTAAAGTCACTCCCGCTGACAGCCACTCAGGGGGGTATCAGCAGGTGAAAAGAGCCTGACCTCAAAGAACTAGTGGCCAGAACGCTCCGGGTTCTCCGTGGTCCTAAAGCAGGAAAAGAAAGAAAATACATTTTAGGCACAGCTTGGGGCCTCAGAAGTTTTGTTTTTATCCATGATACTTCCCTTTAAAATAGTAGGTGGAAAACCCTCTTCTGCTCGCATCCTCCCCCACCCCCGCGGTGACCCTGGGCTCCGGAGGACTGGCCCCAGGCCCGGGTCCCTCCGCAGCACACCTCCCCACGCCCCTTGCAGCCCCGGAGTGGGGCACACAATGCCCCGCCCCTCCGGTGACCGCGCCGAATCACGGGGCGGGGTCGGGGGCGGGAACCTGGGAACGTGAGGGGCGGGGCGGGGCGTGGACTCTTGTGGGGACGCGCAGCGGCGGGGCGCAGCGAGAGTGTGGGGGCTTGTGCGCGGGGAGGAAGCCTGTGCGCTGGGCGGGGACGCGGGGACCGGGGCTCGTGCGCCCAGGCCCTGGGGAGTCGGGCACGCGCGGGGGCGGGGACCCTGGGGAAGCGGAGACGCGCGGGGGCGGGGTGGGGACGGAGCTCTGAGTCCTCCGCGGTGGGGCGGGGCTGCGGCGCTGGGGCCTGTGCGCGGGGCGGGGACCCTGGTGACGGGGCGGGAACCCGGGCCTATGCACCGCGTCCGCGGGTTCCACGCGGAGTCGCTGGTCCCCGCGCACTGCCCCAGAGCCTCACCATGTTCACCTTCGTGGTTCGCGACGAGTACAGCAGTGTCTACGCCGAGGTCTCCCGGCTGCTGGTCGCCTCAGGCCACTGGAAGAGGCTACGGCGGGACAACCCCAGGTTCAATCTGATGCTGGGAGAACGGAACCGGCTGCCCTTCGGGAGACTGGGTGAGCGTCCCCGTTCCCGCCTGTGTCCCTCTCCCGACCCCCACCCCCCACGGCCCGCTGTAGCCGGCGCTTTTGTGTTAAGGCCTCAGATGTTCCCCGCGTCGCTGCTCAGGAAGATAAGAAACGGATCCCTGTAAACCACCGTTCTTAATGTCTCTTGTCTTCAGAATTGGATTCGGACAGGAGTCACCGCGCGGCCATCCGACAGTGGTCCATTCTGCAGCCCGGGGAGCTTCGGCCACCCGCCCCCACACCCCCCGGGTCCACGCCCTCATCTTTGGGTTACACGCTCCCCATCCCCGGGCCGCGCGCCCTTCCATCCCAGGTCAGAGGTCTCCCCATTCCCGGGCCTACGCCCTCATCGGGCAGGTCCCACGGCCGAGCTTGGGACCGGGAGACTCCACGGAGCAGGGATGACATCTGGCTGGAGGATTGCTGCCGGCCTGGTGTGGGCGCAGGAGGGGCACTGTGTGTGGTGAAACCCCCAAGGATTCAGCTCCCCCAAGGCTTAGATAAATTGCGGGGGGATTTGGAAAAGACCTGGATTCCAAAAGCAGGAGCTTCGGAAGGGAGCCCATGGAAGGGAGGTGGGACGTGTGATTTCAGACCGTCCATTAGTTTCACCAAAGAACGTGTGTTCACAACTGGAGGTTCACAGGGGGGCATTGCTGCAGATTTTACACAACGCTGGGTTCACCCTCTGCCTTGCTTCATTCACATAGTGGGAGCTGGCTTGGCACCACCAGGTGTACTTGGCCTTCTGTGGAAGGGGGCGGGGGTGGTGAGGAACCACCCTCACTCCTCTTCAGATGACGTAATCCAGAAGTTGTGCAGGGGCTTCAGCTCACATCCTACTGACCTGAGTGTAGCCCCCTGGAGAGTGTGGCCTCTCCTCGATGCACAGTCACCCGAAATTGCAGCCTCCGCCCTTGTAGCCATGTTCCCTGCCAAAATTCCCTGGGGTGGGGGCCAAATCATAGGCCAAAGACCTAAGCAGAGAGTCGATAATGAAGAAAAGACTTCTATGCCTTGGAGGGCAACCAGACAGAGCAATGTTCTGTGTCCAGGAGAGGAAACAGTTTCTAGAAATAGGTGTGGTTAGTAGTGGGAGGTTGAAGGGGCAGAGTCTAAAAACAGGCCTTTTGGAACCAACTGACTGCTGTGAGCTTAAAGCCTTTGAATGGGGGCCGTGTGCAGTCATGATGGTTTGGGAAATGAAGAGTGTGGCAGCACAGCCCTACTGAAAGTTTTTCTTTGGAATGGTACCATAAACCACTTTAATGGTTACACAAGTTTATGATGCATGGTAGGGGTGTTTCTAACCCCCAGAAATCTTGGAATATGGGGAACTTGCCAGGAGATTCCCTTTTGTTAACCATCTCCCCAAGAAGTCCACAGTACAGAGAACACCTTCCCTCCAAAAAGAAGAAAATCTGTTCATAGTTGGGAATGTTTACTTATTTCCTCCTTGCTCTGTCCACTCCCCAGCCTGCCTGACTTCCTTCCTCTTTGCAGTGTCTGGCTGTCAAAGCTTAGCTGGAATCCTAGCATTAAAAACAGAGAAACAGCTCTGCCGGGGCTGAAGCAGGGTAGATGGTATTGCTGTGATGCTCAGGACTAGGAGGAAGGAGCAGAAACCACCCAGCAGGTCCAGATCATAAACAAACCTCACAAAGTCGGCAGATGAGCAGTAAATACTTGGTGTTTGTGGGAAAGGAAGCAGCATTCCACAACCGAAATGAACCCCAAGGAGAAATCAGGTAAAGGCTCAGAATCTGGGGCCACGGGGTGAAAAGATCAGCAGCCCAGGTGTGAGCCAGGGAGCTGGTGACAGCCAGGTAGTGCCTGAAACTTTTTATTCGATTGTCTGCTGTTCTCAGATCAATTATTATTACCTCTGGCAGCTTCAACTCAAACTCCCTTTATTTGACTTTAGTTTTGTTTTTGTTGCTGGAAATTCAGTGCATTTTGTTAGGATTTTAAACAAGAATTGAGGCTTTTGTTTTTCTTTGTCTCCTGTCTGCTTTAATTTAATGGAGGAAGGGATTTGCCATAAGATTGATTAAAAATGAGTTTCCCTATGGGGTGATGTAGAGAAGAAAGTCCTCAGGCTTTTATGGATGTGGCCTTTCCAGTGCCTTCCTTCACCTTCGGGTGGCTTTCTTAGAAGCCTACAGAGGCAGACATGCTGGAGAACAGGAGCGTCAATTCTGATGGCTATAGGGAGCAAGGCTAGGGAGGTCAGGAGCGTGACTCCACTGAAGTCCTTACTGTACAGAGAACTCATAAGTCAGTATATTAAGCCAAGAAGGAGTGTGGAGGGGATTGGGAGAGGTGACATAGAAAGTACCCCACCACCCTAAGAAGAACAAAGGTGGCAGTGGTCTTGGGCAGCTCTATGATGTTGATATTATATTATCCACTGTGAGGACATTGCGTGTGCCAGTGGAATTGAGGCAAGGGGCAGTACAGGTGCAGGGCAGCAGAATTGTTCCTTTTCTAACCACCAGTCCTGAAAGGGAGAGAGGAAGCTGGACATGACACAGCTGTTCCCTCCTCTGCGCAGCACGGGTGCTGACCGGTCCCGGCTCCCTTCTGAGCTGCCCTTTTCCTTCACAGGTCACGAGCCTGGGCTGGTGCAGTTGGTGAATTACTACAGGGGGGCAGACAAACTGTGTCGAAAAGCTTCTTTAGTGAAGTAAGTGTTCTTTAAAACCTGTTCTTGATTATTTTACATAAATGGCATTAGCTTTCATCATAAAGTATTTAAGGGAAAAATGTGGGGTTATTTAAAAAGCCAATACATATCAGTTCTGAAGCTTCCTCTAAGCTACTTTGATTGCAATCCAGAACTCTGTCATCTAGCACTTGATGAAGCCTGTCTATCTCTGAGGTGAGGCTCCCAAAAGCAGAGCCTCGGACAGGTTTCTTGTGTAAGTGATGTATTGGGGGTGTACTTTGCACTGCAGCATTGATCCGCCACTGGCTGTGGGGAGAAGTGGGGCATTTCTTGGGTATGGCTGGTCCCTGGAGAAGGGTGTGCACAAGCCCTTGGCAGCCACTCTCACAGCAGCCAGGGTCCCCTGAGAAAGGACACCTGGCAGGGCATAACCACATCTGCTACACTGCCCCTCTCTGTGAAGTTGGGTTATGGTAGGTGTCAATAGAACAATATCTAAAAGTAGAGGAAGCACTATTATCTGCTGATTTTATAATCCTAGCTTTTAATCTTATTCGTTTAGGCAAATTTCCTCATCCCTCTAAGCCCTACTATGTCCCTCATAGGTGGTTGTGAGGATGGAATAAGGTGATGTGAGTGAAGTGTGGGGCACAGGTCAAAGGGAGCATGTGATTCTGTGCCTCAGTTTTCTTCTCTGTAAAATGGGGATAATAATATGAATTGCCTTGGGGTTGTTGTCAGGACTGAGATAATTGATGTAAAGGCTTTGAATAATCCTGCCTCATAGTTCACACTGTGTAAGTGAAAGATCTTATTGTTATTACTGTTATTATGGTCATCACTGCTATTGTTATTTCAATAGGGAAGGTGGGTATGGCCCCTAAAATCAGGGCTGTAGCAGGTCTCCATTGTCCTTTCCATGATGACTAGTGAACATTTGTGAGCAACCAAACATATCATTCAGGTGAGGAGACACTGGAAGACATGACTCAGTGTACCTGATCTTTCCCCACTCACATTTCTTTCTAGACTTTAGACATTTACAAGGTGGAATGTTCATAGGACTATGTCTCCCTTTTTGTTCAGATTCACTGTCCCCCATAACATTGTATCCACTTCTCTCAGTGATGGGTTTTCCTGATCCACTGGCTACTCCTAAAGGAGACCAAAGCTTTCTGAAGTCTTCTGATTACATATTCATTACATATTAGATGCAAAAGATTCTTTCAGTAGGACTAGAAATGAGATGTGATTGTTTATCCAGATTGTTCATTTAGAAGTTAATATAAAATGTTTATTCAATCTTTTTTCTACTATGATTATTTTCTGTAAAGATAAAGGTATAAGTTTGCTTTTATAAATAGGAACAGAGGATGTTGTAGAAAAATATTCTACGTATTTGTATATTTAGCACCTATACTGGGGTTGAGTGAGAAGTACAGGACTAGAGTCACTACCAGGCCTGAGTAGGTTTGATCTCTGGGACCTTGGACAGCGCCATGCTGGCTCCCAGCATCCCATCTGTAGAATGGGGATGGATGGTGGTGATCACACATGCTCTTTGCCCCTCAGTGGCATGTGACACAGTCTGTGATGTTTTGACACGCAGGCTGGGGTCATACTCACCTTCACAAATGTCCTTTATTCTCTCAGGTGTCCTGAGAGGGACTGTAGTAATTCCAGGATGTGATGGTTCCCTTTATCATTTTGTCTCTTCCCCATAATTTTGCATGGCTTGAAAGGGCTCAGAGAGTTAAAAGATGTCATTGTAAATGGCAGCTCAGAAGGCAGCTGTATTTCCCAGGGCCAGAGCAGTTAGTGTGGAGCCAGGATGGTTCCAGTCTGTAAACAGCGGACCATGGACTAATGACTGGGCATCCCCCAGAGGGTTCTCCTAGGATCCTACACTGGGCCCTGTATGGCATACACCTTCCTGCTGTCACTTCAGTAAGTGTCCCAAGGCCATAGACTCAGAGTCCTGAAGGGATTTTCTTCCAGCTCAGGTTGGAGACTCTTTTTATCTTGTGAACATTTCTCCCCTGTAGATGTAAATAAACCTCTATTCATGCTTTCTTTCCAAATGGGCTTATGAGGAAATGGGACAAATGCAAAGAACTTTCTATAAAAACTGGTCTTGTTTTTGTACAGGAAATGAAGGCTTCCAAATGAAGGTTATCCTGCAGGCCAGCGCTGTCCAACAGAAATAGAACGTAGCTGCATGTGTGATTTAAAATTTCCTAGTAGCCACATTAAAATTAGTACAAAGAAACAGGTGCGATGTAATTTTTGTTTGTTAATCCTCAACTGAGGATATTTTTCCATTAGTTTTTAGATAGAGTGGAAGGGAGGGAGGGGAAGAGAGAGAGAGAGAGAGAGAGAGAAATATTGATGAGAGAGAGACACATCAATTAGTTGCCTCCCGAATGATCCCAACTGGGGCTGGGGATGGAACCTGCAACCCAGATACGTGCCTTTAACCGGAAATCAAACCCGCAGCCCTTTGGTCTTCAGGCTGATACTCTGACCGCTGAGCCAAACCAGCCAGGGCAGTGCAATGTATTTTAATAATATATTTTATTTAATCAAATAATCCACAATATCATTTTGACATGTAAAAATCTGGTGTGTGTCTCACATTTATAGCACATCTTAATTCAGACACTAAATTTTCATTGCAAACCCCTTGTTCTGTATTTAGATTTCATAAAAATTTATGCTTAAAAAAATACTTATATACCCAAGTTGTTCCCATATATGTAAAAAAAATTTTCAATAACTGAATTGAATACCAAGAAAACATTTCCTTTAGTAATCACATACACATTGACACAGCAGGTTCATTTTATTGGAAGAATTGACTTGGGTTTAAAGCAAAAGTATATCATTTTCAAAACTATATCCCAGTTAAGTAAATTCACCAACTCTTGTGTTAACTCACTAGTATACTATTGAATTCAAGAGAGTATTGAATCAATTGAAAAGAAACTAAGTTTGTTAATGTCAACCAGCTGTTCTTCAAATTTTCCCTTAGTTTTTGCAGCCAATTTGCTGACTTTTGCAATTAAAATCTTCTGCATATTAAATTTTGTTATAAAAATCTGTAAAGTCATTATTTTTGACTTGTATTATAAAGTTGGAACAGAAAGTCTTATACCTGTCTGGTTAGGTCATAAATAAGGATTTCCCTTCCCTTCCTCAGAGCTTTAAAACTAGCTTGTTTGTAGCAGTGTGAAAATTACACTGCCATTTTTAATCTTTGATTATTGAGTGAAATAATAAATTTTTGAAAATAATAATTTGGCAACCATTCCTTTTATTTCAAGAAAACTTGAGTTGGAGTTAACTGTACATTAAATCTTTGCAAAACTTTTCCATTTAACTATCCTTGGCAAAGAACACAGCATCATTAAACACTGTCATCTTCTGTTTCTTGCAACAATTCTATACTGGTGAATCATTGTAGCATTTGCAAGTATATACTGAACCATTTTAACAGCTGCATCCCTGATAATTTCCATGGAGTTAGCTTCAAAACATTGAATGCAGATGTTTCCAATATGTATCAGACAGTAGAATGAAGCAAGAAAGGAAACATCCGTCCTTTAAAATTCCAGTAAATCCATCCCGGCCTGTGTGGCTCAGTGGATTGAGCACTGTCTCATGGACTGAGAGGTCCCGGTTCAGTTCCCAGTCAAGGTGCATGCCCAAGTTTCAGTCTCAGTCCCCAGGAGAGGGAGTGCAGGAGGCAGCCAATTGATGTTTCTCTCACATCCAGGTTTCTACCTCTCTCTCTCTTCCTCTCTCTAAGTAAGTAAGTAAATAAATAAATAAATGCATATTAAAAATAAATTTAAAAAATTAAATCCCAGGATTAAATCCAAATTTTATTCTGCTAGCTAGAGTACTGTCTGTTGTGATAGAAACTGATTTTTCACGTCAGTGAAACTCTTCTTTGACAGATGTAAAAGATTAAAAACTAGCTGCACAATGAGTTTGATATTTTTAGGCTGCAATTTGACTATTTTTCCATGTTTTTGTAAGTCCTATGAGGGAAACAGACTCAAAGTATTAATTGGGCAGTATCTCTTAGTTCACAGCGCTCAGCTAAAGCTGAGCAAAATTTCAAATTTTTCAAGTTCTGAATCAATCTTTAACATAAATGTTTTGTACTCTGTGGGCAATTACTTAAGTGGCATAACTAAAAATTGCTCACTTTTTGTAAAATATTCCTTTTAGTCTTTTCCTCAAAATAACTTCTTTTACCACATTCTTATCTAAAATGATTTGTGTGTTTGTGTGTAGAATCCAAGCCATTTTATAGCTGACCGAAGTTATAAGTACAGATTCTATTAAACATTTGTTTATATTTTTTGTTGTTGAATATTTAATTTGGATTTCAGCCACTAATTTCATTGATTCTTGAGAGGAAGGTGCTTATCAGATTCATTATGTATTTGCTGAAAATGTCCCCATACACAGCAAAGTTCATTTTACTGTGCCACAACAAATTCCATTTATTTGTCATTCATTATAAAATTTGTGACGTACCTTCTTCTAGTGCTTCCCCTCCGCCCCTTAACTGTTCTGGTAGTAGTTCTTGCTTCTGTGCCCCTGCTCAGTTCTGCTGCATCGAGAGTATACCTTTATTTACATTTTAAATTTTGTCCCTACTTATTTTTTTAACTAGAAAAATAATTATATTTCATAATTAGGTACCAATTATGACCTACCTAGCTCTCACTGTGACTCACGCTGTCTGCATAATAAACACATTATAATGTTTCACAAGTGCATGGGAGAACCCACAAGGACTGAATCAGTGCATTGTCCCTGAGTGAGACAGTGATGTATTTGTGTGCAATACTAGAAACGACAAATGCATCTGACAGGCAGGCTGTGATACAGCAAAATGTCTTAGGTCCTGCAGTGGTTAAAGTGAAATGTCCTCCTGCCAAAACAATGAAGTTGTGCTTAATGGACGAGTATTTTACAGTGCTTTTTTAAAATTAAAACTAAGCTGAATTTAAAATTCAGTTTCTGAGTCACATTGGCCACATTACAAGGGCTCAGAAGCCACAGGTGGCTAGTGGCCACCCTCCTGGAAAATGCAGAGAGAGTCGAACAGTCAGTGAATTAGAAATACATTTGTTCCTTTGAGTTTAAGTAACTCAAATCCTGTTGTCTTTAACTTTAAAATAACTTTATTTTAAATCTCAATTTTAAATTTCTTTTCATTGTTTCTGCCATTTGCTCCTAGACTGGGTTTTGCAGGTGAATTTTTACACAAGCTTAATATTCACACTTCTGCAGAAGAGGGAGCCCAGCTTGGGAAGGCCTGGGATATACTTGGTTCCTCCCTGGCTCTGATTCCTGGGGAGGGAGGGTCAGTGTAGAGTTAAGACTTGGGAGTTAGGGTTGTGCATCCTACCTATGTCTTACTACCTGAGTGATGCTGGGAAATGTACTTCTCTGTGACCCAGTGCCTGATCTAGTAACTGTGGTGCTGGTGTCTCCCCTTCAGGGGACCAACTGGAGAGCAGATGTGGTGAGAAGCCCTTCCTAAGCTCTGCTGTTTATTAAGTGCCTCGCTCAGGCCTGACTTGATCTTCTGTTGTGTCATGTTATTTGGGGGTCAGGAGGCATGTTTAGTTATGACCACTGGAGTCCTGTTCCCATTAGAAAGATTCCTCCTTTAGTCCATCTTGAAGCCAGGAAGGTGTTGGCTCAGGATTATTTCAAGGTAAGTTTTCTTGGAGATGCATTTCAAAAAGAGCTGAGGTTCTGGACATTGGGTCCCTTTTGAACCATCTGATGCATGCCTTTAAGGTTGCATGTATAGTTATGTGCACCTGATGGTGCATTACAGGTCGGCCCAGGGAGGCAAGAGCGAATACTGGGATAAGGAGACCAGCCCCTGGCTCCTGGTTACACCCTGCCCCCTTGATGAGCTCTGGAGGTAGCACTGGCTTTTCTGAATAGATTGACAGAGTGCTAATAGAGTGACAGATGACTGACTCTCTGTCATCTGCCAGGCTAATCAAGACAAGCCCAGAACTGGCTGAGTCCTGCACATGGTTCCCCGAGTCTTATGTGATTTACCCCACTAATCTCAAGACCCCAGCTGCTCCCACACAGAATGGAGTCCACCCACCGATCAATAACTCGAGGACGGATGAAAGGGAATTCTTCCTGGCTTCTTATAACAAAAAGAAGGAAGATGGAGAAGGCAATGTTTGGATTGCAAAGTCATCCGCTGGTGCCAAAGGTGAGTTGGCATTGCTGGTCCCTTCTCTCCTCCCTGTAGGTGCCCAGTGCTTTGTGCAATTGCACGTTAGATGTTAATGATGTATTTAGATGAGTGACTCTTCTAATCTGAATCCTTGAGGGTAGAGAGTATGTCTAGTTACATAATCTTAAATATGTATCTACATACAGCCCTGGCCAGTTTGGCTCAGCGGTTAGAGCATAGGCCTGCAGACCAAAAAGTCACAGGTTCGATTCTGGTCAAGGGCACATACCTTGGTTGCAGTTCAGTCCCTGGCCCTGGTTGGGGTCGTGCGGCAGGCAACCAGTCCATGTTTTTCTTCTCTCTCTCTCTTTCTTTCTTTCTCTCTGCATCCCACTCTATCTGAAGATAAATGGAAAAAAGTATCCTCGGGTGAGGATTGTATATATCTACATACTGATGACTTCTGCACGTACATCTCCATACATGTTCAACTCCATACATGTTCATCTCCAGCAAGGTCTTTCACTGTAAGTCCCAGATCCAGTTGCACAGTCTTGGGCATTGGTCCCAGAGAAAAGAAAACATGTTCATGCAAAACCTGTATGAGATTGTTCACAGCAACTTTATTTATAATAGCCCCACACTGCAAACAACTCAGATGCCTTCAGAAGATGAATGATTAAGCAAACCTGAGTGAATTGATCCCACAGGATACTACTCAGCAATGGAAGGGAATGAACTACTGCTCAAAGCAGCAATGTGGATGACTCTCCAAGGAATTATGCTGTGCAAAAAAAAAAAAAAAATCCCCAAAGATCACAATTCTATGTATATAACATTTCTGGAATTACAAAACTATAGAAATGGAGAACAGATTAATGGTTGTCAGGAGGGTGCGGTGGGGAGGGAGGGAGTTGCAGCTTCATAAGAGCAATACGAGGTATCTGCGCAATCATGAAACTGCTTAGATTGAGAGAAGCTACTTGCAAATCATATCTCTTATAAGGCACCTACATCCAGAGTGTATAAAGATCTCTTATAACTCAATAAAAGAAAGACAAATAACCCAATTAACAAGTGAGCAAAGACTGTGAATAGCAATTTCTCTGAAGAAGACATACAAATAAGACAGCCAGTAAGCACATGAAAGCATGCTTAACATTATTGGTCATTAGAACAATTCAAAACCACAATGAGATACCACTTCACACCCACTAAGATGGCTGTAATCATGAAGACAGATAATAGGAAGTGTTGGCAAGAATGTGAAAAAGTTGGAACTCATATGTTGGGCTGTTAAAAAGGATATTATTTATTTAATGTTGATGGACACTTTGAATGTAGCCATTTTTTTCTGTTACCAAGCTGCAGGGAATCCACTTGTACTTTTGTAGCTACATCCTAACCTTCAGTGTTTCCCTAAGATACAGTGTTAGAAGTGGTCACAGGCAGTACATCGTCTGTCATGCAGCCAGTGATCAGCAGGACAGTGGCATTTATTTAGGGTGCCTAGACATTCAGAGTGTCTTTAAAAATAAAACTTCATGCCCTGGCCGGTTTGGCTCAGCAGTTAGATTGTCAGCTCTCGGACCAAAGAGTCAAGGGTTCAATTCCCGATCAAGGGCATGTACCTGGGTTGCAGGTTCAATCCCCAGCTCCCGGTCAGAGTCATGCAGAAGGCAACGAATCTCTCTCTCTCTCTCTCTCTCTCTCTCTCTCTCTCTCTCTCTCTCTCTCTCTCTCTCTCTCTCTACCTCTCCCTTTCCCTCCCTCCCTCCTTCCACTTTATCTAAACATCAATGGAAAGATATCCTTGGGTGAGGATTAACAAAAAAAAGAAAGAAACTTCATGTTTGGAGCTGGCCAAGACAGTGTTTATAGCCCTATATGGAGAAGAAGAATGACCCTGGTGCTTTGGTGGGTGGAGGGGGAGAGTGAGATTGGAAGAGGGAAGTTAGAAAGAAGAGTGAGCAGGCCCACCTGACCCTCCTGTCTGTTTCCCTGCCACCAGTGTTTTCTCTGGGGCTTTGCAAGGAGTCATTCCTTTTTGGATGAGATGCTCTAGTTTTCGTTTTGATTTTGCCCTATTAGGTGAAGGCATCCTCATCTCCTCCGACGCTGCAGAACTTCTAGATTTCATAGACAACCAGGGCCAGGTGCATGTGATCCAGAAGTACCTTGAGCACCCTCTGCTGCTGGAGCCAGGTCATCGCAAGTTCGACATCCGGTAAGGCATCCATGTCTCTTCGTTTTGCTAATCTGTAGGAGTGCAGTGGTGTGTGAGGAGGAGGGTGACCTGGAACGGGAGGAAGTGTTGACTTTGGTATGTTACCAAAACTGAGCACAGCTGAATGGAACTGAGCTTTCTGGACCTAATTCTCTATATTTCTTTCTTTAAAATGTTGCTAAGATTATGGGGTATTTTGCCCTGGCCCGTTTGGCTCAGCAGTTAGAGCATCAGCCCGCAGACCAGAGAATCCCAGGTTCGGTCCCGCTAAGGGCACGTTCCTCAGTTACAATTTGTCCCTGCCCTGGATGGAGTCGTGTGGATGGCAACCACTGGATGTATCTCTCTCACGTCATTGTTTCTCTCTCTCTCTCTTCCTCCCTCTCTTCTTCCCTCTCTATCTGAAGATAAATGCAAAAATGTCCTTGGGTGAGGATTAAAAAAAGATTATGGGTATTTTGTTTGTTTACTATTTTCTTTAATAAAAATGATTTGTGGATCCAAAGGGAAGGGTATAAATATATGGGCCTTGCCCCAGCTGGTGTGGCTCAGTTGGTTGGAGCATCCTCTCTTATACCAAAAGGCTTGAGTTCGATTCCTGGAGGGCACAAACCTAGGCTGCAGGTTCAGTCCTTGGTTGGGGTATGTATGAGAGGCAACCAGTCGATGCTTCCCTCTCACATCGATATTTCTCTCTCTCTCTCTCTCTCTCTCTCTCTCTCTCTCTCTCTCCCCCCCCCCCAACCCCCCACCCCTTCCTGTCTCTAAAATCAATACACATATCCTTCAGATGAAGAATAAATAATAAATAGGTCTTACTATGGAAGGAGCAGAGCAATATACACAGAACGCGTAATTCAGACACAACAGACCACGTGACCCTGACAAATAATATGTACTGACCTTATTTGTGTCCCACTTTTGAAGGATTTCATGAACACCCCTCAGGTTTTTGGACTTGAACTTAGGAGAAGAGGTGCAGGGATTTCTGAAGCAGAGCGGCTTCAGTCCAGCCTGCTCTCGGCCTTGCTGTTCTCAGCTGCCTCTGTGTCTGGTCAGCTGTCCGGTCAGCTGTCCGATGTTGGATCAGTTTCAGGATGAACAGTCTTCCTCTTAAAATTACCAAGTATGGCAAATGGAAGTTTCATAGAATAACCTTTAAAACAAACCCATCACTATGTTTGTGGGTGTTAATATAAATAATTATTGGTGTGCCTCGGGAGAAAAGTAATTTACCAAAGCAACTTTTTGTTCACAGATCGAGAGAAATTAGGTCTTGATGTTGGGGTTTTTGTTTGAATTCTGTGTGCAGACAACTGTGTGAAGAGCAAGGTGTCTCTGCTCCTTCTACTGATGTTTATTATTATTATTATTATTATTTTTATCCTCACCCGAGGACATTTCTGCATTTATCTTCAGATAGAGTGGGAGGGAGAAAGGGAAGGAGAGAGAGAGAAATATCAATGTGAGAGAGACACATCGGGTGGTTGCCACCCACATAACCCCAACCAGGCTGGGGACAAACTGCAACCGAGGTATGTGCCCTTAGCAGCAACTGAACCCAGGACTCTCTGGTCTGCGGGCCGGCTCTGTAACCGCTGAGCCAAACTGGCTAAGGCTGATGTTTATTATTTTTTAATACGAAGCAATAGCTTCAAAGAAGGTAAAATTCGTCCTGAGGTTTTTAAAAAGAAAAGTATTGTTTATATATAAAAAATAATAATAAATAAAATCCATCAAATCTCTTTAAAATGCTGTCTCTTTGAATGGGTCAAAGTCTCCTTGTCATTGGTAGTGAAATGTTTCGTTTGATTATTACAGTGGTCGTCCATTATTCAGCTAATTGTTGTGGCTTGCCTTGTGTAACTTAGAACCTATCTCTTCTATTTCCTGCCAAGAAAATCAAGGGTGGGAATGATGTAGATATCTGAAGGAACTTTAGGGGACTTGAGTAACTGTTTTTGTTGACTTGCAGAAGCTGGGTCTTGGTGGATCACCAATATAATATCTACCTCTATCGAGAGGGTGTGTTGCGGACTGCGTCAGAACCATATCATGTTGATAATTTTCAAGACAAAACCTGCCATTTGACCAATCACTGCATTCAAAAGGAATATTCAAAGAACTATGGGAAGTACGAAGAAGGGAATGAAATGTTCTTTGAGGAGTTCAATCAGTACCTAACAAGTGCTTTGAACATTACGCTGGAGAGCAGTATCTTACTACAAATCAAACATATCATAAGGTAACTGTACTGTATCTTTTTGGTTACATGTGCCTTGAAGAAGCTTTGAGACTTTGTGCCTTTCAAGGAATTATTCCACTTAAGTTGTCTAATTAAAAAAATTATTAGTAATATTTCTCTTTTACCCTTTTAATATTTGTAGGATCTCTAATGATGTCACTGCTTTCGTTCCTTATATCGGAAATATGTAGCTTCTGTCTTGGATGGATTGGCTAAAGGTTTATCAATTTTCTTAATTTTTATTTATTTATTTACTTATTAAAACGTATCTTTATTGTTGAATGTATTACAGATGCCCCTCCTTTTTCCCTGATTGACCCCCTCCTCCCCACTCCAGCCCCCCTCCTGCCTTCCTCATACTATTGTCTGTGTCCATTAGTTATGCATATAAGTTCTTTGGTTTATCTCTCTACCCACCCCTTTCCCTTTGAGGTTTGTCAGTCAAACAACCAATTTGTACTTTCACCTTTTTCACCCATACCCTCAACCCCCCTCCCATCTGGCAACCAACAAATATATACTCTCTGTATATATGAGTCTGTTTCTGTTCTGCTTGCTCGTTTTGTTTATAGATCCCATTGTTGACAGATATGTATTTATTGTCATTTTATTGTTCATGTTTTTTATTTTCTTTTTTTGCATGAAGACCCTTCAACATTTCATATAATACTGATTTGGTGCTGATGAACTCCTTTAGCTTTTTCTTGTCTGGGAAACTCTTTATATGTCCATCAATTCTAAATGATAGCTTTGCAGGATAGAATACTCTTGGTTGTAGGTTCTTTTCATCACTTTGAATATTTTTTGCCACTCCCTCTGGCCTGCAAAGTTTCTTTTGAGAAGTCAGCTGACAGACTTATGGGAGCTCCCTTGTAGGTACCTGTTTTTCTCTTGCTGCTTTTAAGATTCTCTCTTTGTCTTTAACCTTTTGCATTTTGATGATGATGTGTCTTGGTGTGGGCCTCTTGGGGTTTATCTTGTTTGGGACTCTCTGTGCTTCCTGGACTTGTATGTCTGTTTCCTTCACCAAGTTAGGGAAGTTTTCTGTCATTATTGTTTCAAATAGGTTTTCAGTTTCTTGCTGTCTTCTCCTTCTGGCACTCCCATGATGCGAATGTTGGTACACTTAAAGTTGTCCCAGAGGCTCCTTACACACTCCTTTTTTAAAATTCTTTTTGTTTTCCTGATTGGGTGTTTTTTTGCTCCCTTATATTCCAAACTGATGGTTTGCTTTTTGGTTTCATGTACTCTACTACTGATTCCTTGTAAATTATTCTTTATTTCAGTTAGTGCCTCGTTCATTTCTGACTGTGCACCCTTCATTTTGACTGGTCCTTTTTAATGCTCTTGAGACCCTCACTAAGCTCATTGAGCATCCTTATAACCAGTGTTTTGAACTCTGCATCTGTTAGATTGCTTATCTTAATTTCATTTAGTTCTTTTTCTGGAGTTTTGTTCTATTCTTTCATTTGGGACATGTTTCTCTGTCTCTTCATTTTGACTGCCTCCCTGTTTGTTTCTATGCATTAGGTGGAGTTGCTATGTCTCCTAGGCTTCATAGGGTGGCCTGTTGTAGTAGGTGTCCTGTAGGGTCCAGTGGCACAGCCTCCCTGATCACCCCAGCTGTGCCCTTGAGGTGCACCCCTCATGTGGACTGTCCACTCTTCTGTTGTAATTGAGTCTTGATTACTGTTGACACTTCAATAGGAGAGATTTATTCAGGCTGATCAGCTTCAAGGACTGGCTGTGCCCACTGACCACCAACCTCTGACTTACTTGGAGGACCAGCTGTGCAGGGGCCCACCACACAGAGCAAGACTTACTTCAGCAGGGCTCTGGTACCCACTGAGTTCACTCCTTGAGTGTGTCACTTGTGGAGATTGTTGGGTGTTGGCGCTTCAGTGTGGTCTGAAGCTGTCCACTGGGTGTGCTGGCTCTGGGGCAAGGTCAGCCACTACCTGTGTTCTACCTGGGGCCACCAGGCATAAGCTACAAAGCTATCTGCCAATGGCTGCTTCCTGTGCTGGGCTTGGAGTGCCCAGAAACAGCCAAGTTGTAGACCAAGGGTGGCTGTTCCTAGCCCTGGACCTGGGACCACTTAGTGAGAGGTATGGGGCATGCTGAGGCCAGATGCTGCTTTTTTGAGAGAATTTAGGAAAATCTGAAACAGGAGCCATGACAGGCCATTCCTATAGTAAAGCCACTGGAAACAGCTTGGGTGGGCCTGAAAATTGGATGGGACAGGGCCTCAGGGAATCACCAGGGTGGAGCAAACAGTGTGAGCCAGGTTGCTGGAGTCCCAGGTATGGCGCCAGTCTGCCACCCTGGGGAAGGGCTCACCAAAGGAACAATGGCCTCCGCCAGCACATCTATGTGGGAGAAAGCTGCCCCTCCAGTTCTCTCCCAGATGCCAAACAACTCAGTTCTTTCCCATATGTCTCTGGTGCCTTTCAAGCTGCCTTCCCCACACTTGAGCCTAGAGGGAGCAAATCCAAATAAGTCCATGCACTGGCCCTTTAAGAGGAGCTGCCTGGGGCTCCCGCAGCCTCAGTCTCCCTCAGTCTCAGTTCCCGCTGGTTTTTCCAGCCAGAAGTTATGGGGATTCTCTTCCTGGCACTGGAACCCTGAGCTGTGCTCCTGGTGTGGGACGGGGGCCCCTCACTCCCCAGGGAGGACCTTCACAGCCGAGATGGCTCCTGATTTTTATCTGCCACACGTGGATGTGGGACCAGCTCATTGGTGCCTCCGCCCCTCCTACCAGTCTCGATGTGATTTCTTTCATTTCGTAGTTATAGGACTTCCATTCAGCCTAATGTCAGGTGGTTCTGAATGATGGTTATTCTGTAGTTTAGTTGTCATTTTGATGTGGTTGTGGGAGGAGGTGAGTACTGCGTTTACCTGTGCCACAATCTTGACTGAAAGTCTTTTACTAATCTTTTTAAAAAGTCAGTGTTTGGCTTTATTGATTAGCTCTGTGTTTTTGGTTTTTATTTCTCTGATTTATGCTATTTATTATTTCCATCTGCTTTTTTGGGGGTATTTAATTTGTTCTTTCCTAGTTTCTTTGTGAAAGATTAGATCATTAATTTGAGAGACTCATTAAAAAAAAAAAATACAATACATTAAATACAATTTAATTCTATCAGTTTCCCTCTAAGTACTCATTAGTCATACCTCCAGATTTTGCTATGTTGTGGGTTTTTTTGTTTGTTTGTTTTGGTACATGCCCCTAGCGGGAACCAAGTCCGGGACTCTCTGGTCCGCCAAACCGGCCAGGGCTGTTGTGGTTTTTTTGTTTTGTTTTGTTTTTTTATCCTCACCCGAGGACATTTTTCCATTCTTTGCTCAGGTAGAGTGGGAGGGAGAGAGAGGAACAGAGAGAGAGAGAGAAACATCGACATGAAAGGAACACATCGAGTGGCTGCCACCCGGATGACCGACCAGGGCCGGGGACGAACTGCAGCTGAGGTACACGCCCTTAGTGGGAACCGAACCCGGATCTCTCAGGACCGCAGGCCGACGCTCTAACCGCTGAGCCAAACTGGCCAGGGCTGTTGTGGTTTTTTATTATTATTAAAATACTTCCTAGTTTTTCGTGTGACTTCATATTTGACTCGTGTTATTAGAAACTTTTTTTTTTTAATCATCATCTGAGGATACTTTTTCCATTTTTTGTTCAGATAGAGTGGGAGGGAGAGAGAGAGAGAGAGAGAAACATCGATGTGAAAGGGACACATCGAGTGGCTGCCACCCACATGACCCAACCAGGGCTGGGGACAAACTGCAACTGAGGGACATGCCCTTAGCAGGAACAGAACCCAGGTCTCTCTGGACCACAGGCCAACACTCTAACCGCTGAACCAAACCGACCAGGGTGTGTTATCAGAAACTTTTGCTTAATTTCCAAATATTAGGGGATTTTTCCAGATATCTTTCTGTTACTGATTTCCACTTTAATTCCACTATAGTCAGAGAACATAGTTTGTATGGTTTTGTGTCTTTAAAATGTCTTGGTTTGTTTTGTACCCCATAATGTGGTCCGTCTTTATGACATTTACCATGCTGTACTTAGGCAGAGTGTGCAATAAATGTGAATTTGGTGAAGGTGGTTGCTAGTGTTGTTCAAGTCTTTTATATTCTTGCTGATTTTCTGTTACACTTGTTTGTTATCGAGAGGAAAAATATCAGTCTCCAGGTATAATTTGGATTTATGTCTCTTTTTAGTTTTATTAGTTTTTTCTTTCAAATATTTGGAAAGTCTATTGTTAGGTACATGTACATTTAGTATCATAGTCTCTTTTTGGGAAATTGACCAACCACTTTATCATTATGTAATATCTGCCTTTATCTCTGGTAATATTTCTTATTTTGAAGTTGATTTTTTATATTAATATAGCCACTCCAGCTTTCTTTTGATTAGTGGTATTTTCTATCTCTCCTTTTACTTCTATTCTATTCTATTCTATTCTATTCTATTCTATTCTATTCTATTCTATTCTATTCTATTCTATTCTATTCTGGTGGGCTCTGGTAGGCAACATATATTTGGGTTTTGTTTTGTTTTTAATCCAATATGGTAATCTTTGTCTTTTAATTGGTGTGTTTATACCATTTAAATATAATGTAATTATTGTTTTGGTTAGATTTATATCTACCATTTTATTATTTGGGCTGTTTGTTCCCTCTTTTAATTTGCTTTCATGTCTCTGTTTCCTGACCTCTTTAGAATTATTTGAATATTTCTAGAGTTCTGTTTTAATTTTCCTATTGAGTATTTGGCTATATCTATATCTATCTATCTATATTTTAGCAGTAATTCTAGGGATTAAAAAATATATGTATCTACTATTTCAGTCTTCTTAGAGTTAATAATTCACCACTTCAAATAAAATGCAGAAATCTTATAATCTTATAGTTCACTTGACTCTCCCTCTCTATGTTATGGTTGTCACGTATATTATGTCCACATACATTGAAATCCCTACCATATAATGTTATAATTTTTTATTGATATTTTAAATAATTTTTCTTTATTGATTTATAGAAAGAGGAAGGGAGATAGAGAGAGATAGAGACATCGATTAGAGAGAACATAGATTGGCCACTTCCTGCATGCCCCTCACTGGGGATTGGGCCCACAACCTGGGCATGTGCCCTGACCAGAAATTGAACTGGTGACCTCTTGGTGCATAAGTCGACATTTAACCACTGAGCCACACCAACTGGGCATGTTATAATTTTTTATTATCAACCATTATATACATTTTGTTATATAGAATCAGGTTGGATTTCTTAAAAAAATACAAGACCAGCCCTGGCTGGTTTGGCTCAGCAGTTAGAGTGTCAGCCTGTGGTCCAGAGAGACCTGGGTTGGGTTCCCGCTAAGGGCATGTACCTCGGTTGCAGTTTGTCCCCGGCTCTGGTTGGGTTGTGCAGGTGGCAACCACTCGATGTGTCCCTTACATGTCGATGTTTCTCACTATCTCTCTCTCTTTCTCTCTCTCCCTCCCTCCCTCCCTCCCTCCCACTCTATCTGAACAAAAAATGAAAAAATGTCCTCGGGTGAGGATTAAAAAAAAAAAAAACAAGGCCAAACTGTCTGCTGTCTATAAGAAACATATTTAAATATAAAATAATAAATATATATATTTTTATTTACCCAGATATTTGCCTTTTCTTTTTCACTCTTCCTTTAGTCCTGAGGTTCCAGATTTCTTTCTGGTATCATTTCCCTTTAGACTTTGTCATTTCTTTTAGAAGAGATCTGCTGGTAATAAGTCCTCTTAATTTTCCATCATCTGACAATGCCTTTATTTCACCTTATTTGTGAGGGGTGTTTTCACTGGAGTTACACAAACATAATATCAAACACGAAAACATAAAGTAAGTCCTGGCCGATTTGGCTCAGCAGTTAGAGCATCAGCCTGTGGTCCAGAGAGATCCGGGTTCGGTTCCTGCTAAGGGCACGTCCCTCAGTTGCAGTTTGTCCTCAGCCCTGGTTGGGTCATGTGGGTGGCAGCCGCTCGATGTGTACCTTTCACGTCGATGTTTCTCTCTCTCTCTCTCTTTCCCACTCTATCTGAACAAAAAATGAAAAAATGTCCTTGGGTGAGGATAAGAAAATAAATAAATAAATATAAATATAAAATAAAAGATGCATGCAGATTGATTCTATTCATACAAATTGAAAAACAAGCAAAGCTTAGTAATACCTTTAGAGGAGGGTACACATGTGGTAAAAATAAAGAGAGAAGCAACGAGTGATAAACATAAAATTTAAAATAGTAGTTATCGCCAGAGAAAAAGCAGGAGGGATGCAAGGAGGAGGCCAGAAAGTACTGGATGTGGGTACATGTATGTATATTAATGCTCCGTGTATTTTTGTTGTTGTTGTTAATCCTTACTCAAGGATATTTTTTTATGGATTTTTAGATAGAGTGGGAGAGAGAGAAAGAGAGAGAGAGATGTGAGAGAGATACATTGAATGGTTGCCTCCTGCATGCGCCCCAATTGGAGCCAGGAATCGAACCTGCAACACAGGTACATGCTCTTGACTGGGAATCAAACCCACGACCCTTTGGTCTGAGTGCTGATGCTCTGAACTACTGAGCCAAACTGGCCAGGGCAGTGCTCCATGTATTTTAAACTCATGACATTTTTATTAGTATGTACAGTTAATATTCATTTATATTTCCTCCTAATTTTAACCCTTCATGTTTGCTTCTCTCTTTTGCACGTATTCTTATTTTTGTCTAGGATCATTTTTCTTATTCCTAAAAAACTCTTTGTGCTGCTTTATTTTTTTAATATCTATTTATTTATTATTATTATTTTTATCCTCACCTGAAGACATTTTTATCTTCAGATAGGGCGGGAAGGAGAGAGGGAGGAAGAGAGAGAGAGAAACATCGATGTGAGAGAGACACATCAACTGGTTGCCACCCACACAACCCCAACCAGGGCCAGGGACAAACTGTTACCGAGGTACATGCCCTTACTGGGAACTGAACCCGGGACTCTCTGGTCTGCGGGCCGATGCTCTAACTGCTGAGCCAAACTGGCCAGGGCTCATTGTGCTTTTTAAAAAAGGTCTGCTGATGATGAATTATCTCAGTTTTAATTTATCTGATAATATATTTATTTTGTCTTCATTTTTAAAGGACATTTGCTCTGGAAACAGATTTCTAGATCAGCAGTTAATATTTTTTTGCACTTTGAAATTGGCATACCATGATCTTCTGGCTTCCATGTTTTCTGTTGAGATGTCATCTGAAATCTTTGTATTGTTCTTAATAATTCTTTTCTCTGTCCTTAAGATTTATTTTTGTTGATTTTATAAATTTTACGATGATGAGATGTGTGTAGTTTTCTTTGTATACATTCCTGCATAGGTTTCATAGTGTTTCTTGAATCTTGGAATATTCCCGGTCATTATCTTTTCAATTATGGCTTTTGTCCCATTTTTCTTTCCTTCTGCATCTCTAATTACATGGGTATTTGTCTATTTCTCCGTGTCTCACATTTCTCCTATGGTTTTTGTGTATAATTTTATCTCTTTCTTCAGCTATTAAAACCTGTTTTACAAATTTAAAAATTAAAAAGTTAAAAGCTGTTAAAACTGCTATTAAACTCATCTATTGAGTTCTTGGGTTTAGTTATGCTTTTCATCTCTAAAATTTTCTTTGACTCTTATATTTAGATGACCATTCTCTTTTGTAATTCTCCCACTTGTCTTACTATTTTCTTGAACATAGTTATGACAGTTTTTTAACATTGTTGTCTGACAACTCCAATATCTGGATTATGTATGGGCCATATCTGACCTGTTCTTTTATGACTATAAACTAAAAATGGCTTTTACATTTTATTTATTTATTTAAATTGATTTTAGAGAGAGAAGGGAGAGGGAGAGAGAGAAAGAAACATCAATGAGAGAGAACATCGATTGGCTGCCCCCTGCATGCCCCCCACTGGGGATCTGGCCCACAACCTGGGCATGTGCCCTGACCGGGAGTCGACCTGGCGACCTCTTGGTGCATGGGTCGACGCTCATCCACTGAGCCACACAGGCTGGGCTCAGTTGGTTCCTAACTGGCTAACTGTTCAAAATTATTTTTAAAGTTTAGATATATGTATAGGAATATTCTTCTTTTTTGAAAATAAATAGATAAAAGGAAATTGATACTTGGAGTGAAGGGTGGTGGAGAGAGTTGGGAGAGCAAGATCCTGGCCCCACGTTCACAGAGGCCGCAGGTCTTAACTCATGAGTCAGAACCCACCTGCGTGGACACACCGTCGAGTCATTCCCGGGGAAGCCTGTGTGTTGTTCCTTCTCACTGTACATTCAGCAGAAGGACAGCTGTCTCTGTTCATATTAGAGTCGTCATAACACTTTATTACTGAGATAGGGATTTGCCCCAACATTCAGTTAGGGAAATATCAGGGGAGGTCATAGAACAGAATTGGCCTGAGTATTCTGGGGTGACTGTCCTAGAGGACAGTGATTGATTCTTCTCAATTCCTTATCTAGTTATCTCATTGAACCATCTCAGCACCAGGAGTAGGTACACTTTTACCCCCGACTTTATAGAAATCAGAGCTTAGCTCCAAGAGTTTAAATCACTGACCAAGATTCTGGCCTCGGCAGCCTGACCTCTGACCTCATTTATTTATTCACTATGTTTCTGAAATTCACTTTAAGTTTTTATATGTTGTTTTTCAAATGTTTATGTTTTATATGGTGTATGCAATTTTTCTGTGTTTTTCCAATTTTTTCAAACAGTCATCGATGTTAATCATTATTCTGTTTCAGCATTTAGTTTCAATATATGTAGCTTTTCAATCTTTTTTTTTTTTATCCTCACCCAAAGACATGTTTGCATTCATCGTCAGACAGAGTGGGAGGGAGAGTGGGAGGAAGAGAGAGAGAAACGTTGATGTGAGAGAGACATATTGAGTGGTTGCCATCCACACGATCCCAACCGGGGCTGCGGACAAACTGCAGCCAAGGTACGTGCTTTTAGTGGGAACCGAACCCAGGTCTCTCTGGTCTGCGGGCCGACGCTCTAACTGCTGAGCCAAACCAGCGAGGGCACTGTTCAGTCTTTTATCAGTAACAATTTGGCAGTGGAACTGGAACAAGCAAAAGAGATTAATGAGACCAGTGTTCTCTGCAAATCCTGCCCCTCACTGATTGGTGGTCCATTTCTTTTGTATGGAAAAAGGACATGGAAGTGTTTTGTGTCTTACAAACACAATGTGGCAGTAGCTGACCTGTGGGAGGAACCCACCTATTCAGGGGCCACGGTGACAGCTCTGAGCAGGTAAAGCAGCTTCCACTTGTAAAGACATGCGTGATTGGAGAGACTTCTAACAAGTTGCTTGAAGAGTAGCATTGTCTTGAATAATATGTTGGTAATAACTTTGAAAGAGAGATTAAGTCAAAGCCAGTTTATGTCAGCACACCCAGTGCGTAGTCACCCAGGCCCGTCTCCTCACACCCCACTCAGCGAGCTCTCCCTCTGCCCTGCAGGAGCTGCCTCATGAGCGTGGAGCCTGCCATCAGTACCCGGCACCTCCCCTACCAGAGCTTCCAGTTATTTGGCTTCGACTTCATGGTGGACGAGGAGCTGAAGGTCTGGCTCATTGAGGTCAACGGCGCCCCTGCTTGTGCTCAGTAAGCCTAACACCTCTGGGTTGTAACAAGTGGAAGTTGGAATGACCTGTTTCAACACGTTGGTGCGCACCCATGCCCTTTGACTGCTGTCAGGGAGGAGGTGACTGGGTGGGAGTCCCTGGGGAGGACCCTGCTGGCAGGGGCTTTGCTGTGGCACTTCCTTTCCCATTTCTCCTGTGTGTTGAGCGGGTGGACTGCTCAGATAGGTGGTCATTGCTGTGAGGGCTTCAGACACAGCTAGTAGCTACCAGAGGAGACCCTCTGTGCGATGAGTTGTGAGCAGGTCCTGGAATCGGGGAGATGGTGATGACCAGGAAGGTCAGGGCTCCTCGGGCAGGAAGTGGTCTGAGAAGCATCAGGGATGCAGAGGAGCTGGAGCTGGATGTGAGAGGACTGTGATACGTGCCCAGGGGAGAAGGGAGAGCCTTCGGGACGGGGACACGGCGCCCAGTGGCACCTTGCTCACCGCCAGGCTCTGGGAGGAGCCCCGGTGAGCAGCACCTGCTCTGCTCGGGAGCGTCTTTTCCTTCCGGGAGAAGCCAGGCTGCAGCCTGGCATCAGCGTCGTGGGGTGAGGAATGCTGGAGGGGACAGGCGAGTCAGGACTGCACCAGGCGAGGCCATGCATGTAGGAGGCCCCTTTCCTCCTCTTCTCCATGCCCACGTGCTGGAGAACCTGAGATGATCTTCCCAAGGGTTAGGAGGAAGTCACGTCAAGATGAGTGTCCTCAGGCAGGTCCACTGGAGGAGAGAGACAGTGCGCAATTAATTGGTGTGTGAATCATATTGTTCCAAGTCTGTAATAGAAAATAAATAGTTTGTCTTTTAGGTACATGGTTTTCCGAAGTGAGGACTTCTGGACTGGGGGAGGCGGGGCTTACAGTGAGGTGGCCTGGAAAGCCACCAGGGACCCGGGGCACACTGCGAGGCGAGGGGCAGGTGATGTGCCAAGTCCCAATTTCAGTAACCACCAGCGCTGTTCCTCCTGCCACACAGGCCTCCTGTCTCTGTTCCTTGTAGGTGGGAGGTTGAGTGGTTCAGAAATAGAACCACCAGCCTCGGGGCAGTAAAAAGGAACAGGGTGGGGCAGGGGAGAAGGTTCTGTGATGGGGAGGTGGCCGCAGGGATCTGCCATTGTGTGGGGAGGGCGGGGACCAGATGGTGAGGATTTCTGTCTGGTGGATATCAGAAAGCAGGACAGTCAAGACCTCTGCTTTCCTAGGTTGGGTGGCCCCGGGCTACTCTCAGGTGTGGGTTCTCTCTCTGGACCACACATCTCTGGTTTCTCCCTGCATTAGCGTCAGTCCGGAGGGAGCCGTCTCGGGTCTCGTGCACTGCCCCACGAAAGGGGCAGAAATCCTCTAGGGCAGTGGTTCTCAACCTTCCTAAAGCTGTGGCCCTTTAATACAGTTCCTCATGTTGTGCTGACCCCCAACCATAAAGTTATTCTCATTGCTACTTCATAACTGTAATTTTGCTACTGTTATGTCTTAGGCAACCCCAGTGAAAGGGTCATTTGACCCCCAAAGGGGTCGCGACCCACAGGTTGAGAACCGCGGCTCTAGGGACTAGTGGCCGTGGGAGATGGGGGACCTCATTGCTATTCTGAAGACACTGGATGGGAAGTTTTCCTCCTTAGCTTTTCTACTTTGGTGCTTCCATTGTCTGGACCCCTGGACCTGGCCTCAGGACCCTACGTGGCCAGGCCAGTGCCCTGTCTGCAGCCTCAGCCTGCACCCATCCACTTCCCCACACACCCTGGCTTTCTCTGCCCCAGGCACCTCCCTTCATGCCCTGCCCTCTCCTCCCCACCCCAGCTCACTCTCCCTCTCTCCCTCCCTCGCTGTCTTTGTGTCTGTCTTTTCTCTCCGTGGTCCTCTGTTCTACCCTGCCCTCCATCTCTGGCCGACTTCATCATTCCCCTGGTCTCGGCTTAGTTGTCACCCCTGGGAGCCCTTCCTCAGTCCTCTCAGCCACAGGAGGGAGTGCTTTCCATGGGGAGGCCTGCGCCCCGTGCTCCCCACTGCGGGGGGAGGGGGACCTCACGCTCTTAGAATTGCCTTCTTGTCTGCAGTTCACGTCGGAGCAGGTCTCAGTTCACCTGGGAGGGCTCCCAGAGAGTTAAGGGGCCGCTTGGTTTCCCCGAGGTGCCTCTGTAGTATTTGTACAGACAGCGGAAGTCAGTGTATAGATGTGGTCATGGGGTGGAATCTCCGGGGTGGATCCTGGTGAAAAAACGTTGGTTTCTCGCTTGCACTTTGATGAACTTCCTCAATAATATATTTTAAAATACGTTTCAGGAAGCTCTATGCGGAACTGTGCCAGGGCATCGTGGACATAGCCATATCCAGCGTCTTCCCGCCCCCCGACGCCGAGCAGCCGCCCAGCCAGCCGGCAGCGTTCATCAGGCTGTGACAGGGAGGCGCATGGGGTCCTGCTCCAGGAGTCATCTGCTTGCTCCACGTGCAGCCAAAATGAGAAACAGGCAGCTGGCGAAGATGCGAGGTGGCGAGAGGGTGAGAGCGGAGGTGACCCCGAGGGGCTCCCCGGTGGAGCTGTCTGCACTGCTGTTGAGATTTGAAAACTGCAGCGAATTTCCCGGAGGGGAGAGCAAAATCTTCACAGGGATTTGGTCGTTTTCTGTTCTCGTCCTTGAAAGAATCGGATTTCCATCTAAGGCAGTGTTGTAAGCAGCGCCTCTTCTCCCAGAGACCACTGGACCTTTGCTTGGCGTCTCCACCCGCTGCAGCCTTCGTGCCTTAGCTCTGTGCCAGCTGCAGCCTGGGCTGCACAGGGACTGGAAGCTAGAGCGCTTGGGAGGTAGCCAGGTGTCCCTGCGCACCCCCCGTGGCACTCTGCCTGGGAAAATCTGGACAGGCTTGCCCCAGCTGCCTCGCAGGACAGGGCCTTGTCCTCGTCCCCCTCCTGACGGCCTGGGTCAGTCTCCTGTCGGGGTGGGTGTGGGCGGGGCACCGGTATAGCGAACGCTGCTCTCAGTCTGCTCTCTGCATGTTTTAGAAACCGAGCGGCAAGTTTGCTACAAACCCATAAGCATCAAATAAGCATGAGAGAGAAAAAAGATGATGTCTTGCTTTACTTCATAGTTGGGCATCCTTGAAATATGATAAATCTGTTATCTTTGGTTTGACCAGAATTCTTCATGCACTTTTGCGAAGTTCCTGCTGTTCACTGTGTGTGTGTGTGTGTGTGTGTGTGTGTGTGTGTGTTTTCACTTTTGTGAAAACCCCTCTGGGGTCAGGAGAAAGTAGGATTCCCCTCCCCTCAGGAGGCATTGCCCCCAACACAGGGAGCTCTGGCCATCTCATCCTCCTCCTCTTCAAGCACCTTCTTGGAGCTGGAGGGGCGACTCTTGCCCCAGCGAGGGCTCTCTGTCTCTGGGAGAGGCTCTCAATGAGTGTCTGCCTGCCTAAATGGGAGAGTCTCCCAAAACGAGAAAGACATGGTTAGAGAGCTTCACACAGCATCTTGTAGGTCAACAGATGTGTCCTGTTAGCTCTGGTTTTCAGTTACTGGATCGATGTGTGTTCTGCGGACTTTTCAGGAGGCCATGTCATTGGCAGTGGGAAGAACAAGGTGCTGTTTGTGTGTGCCGAGCTGAGTGAACAGGCCCTTCATAGAGAGTGCTGGGATCACAGCAGACCCATTGACCGGGCTCCCCTCCTCGGAGTGTGCTGTGTGTTTCCTCCGTTATCCGTGTGCTCCATTATTCACCCTCCTTGCACGCAAAAATCAGTTCTGCAGTCGGGGAGATGTTTTTAAAAGGAGAAGAAAAAGTGACAGTTCCTAAAATATGGTAAGATGTGAGAGCTTATATGTGGGTGTAGGGTGTGAAGATGTGATGCTGGGGGATGTGGAGAAAGGCCTGGCTGGGTTGGCCTGCACGGGGATGTGGAATTACAAAATAAAGTCCTGGTTGCCTGGAGCACAGACCGTGAAGTTTGCAGGCAGAGCACAAAGACACTGTTGGGGGTGAGTCGCTCCTGGAGGCCCAGTGTAGCTGCTGGGCTGGTGTTGGGGACGCAGCAGACTGTGGCCAGGTGCACACCCATTTAGAAAGTGTAGTACTGGGTCCCTGGGCTGCCTACGTGGGCCGGTGAGGGGGAAAGCATGGACGTTTTTGTAGGGCTATCCCCTGTGAGTACACATGCGTAATGATGGTTTGGACCTAAATTACAGGACTGTTTGAGAGTTTTCCAGCTGTCTCAGTGACAGAACTAAGAATTCAGATGTTGGGAAGTCTGCAGGTCTTGAAAGATTTTCTAAGAAACCTCAATCAATAGCATATATGTGAGGGAAGTGAGGCTCTGAAAAGAAAGTGATACCTCCTTCCTCACATGCTTTCAAATAAGTATCTGGTTTATGCACTTATTTCTGGTGGTGGGGGGGTGGGCTCAGAACTGTTCCATGCCCTTCCCTGCTGTGCTGGCACAGGTGGTCCTGCCTCGCTGCCCAGTCCGTCTTCCTGTGTGTGTCTGTGTCCGTGTTGCCAGTTGCTGGAGATGTCGACGCCAGTCCTGGCTCTCACTAACTGCTCAGTGTCGGGCGAGCTGTAACCTCTCTGTGCCTTAGTTTCTTGTCTCACGGGAGAGATTGTTGCTTGACCCGGGACTACCTCACAGGCTTTAGCGAGGACAAGTGAGAGTAGGAAGACTCAAGAACCTTCTGTACCAAGGTTCCCAATGCTGGCGATATGCTGGAACCACTTGGGAAGCTTCTGACAGTGTTGGTACCCACACTGTCCCCCTCCCCCCACCCTGATGATTGGATCAGACCCTCAGGCAGCAGTGCGCATTGCGATGCCTTGAGCCACTGCTTGAGGAGGAAGGACACGTTATTATTACCTTGGAGGAACTGAATTAGGCATAGGGCTTTTTAGAAATTCCTTCTGGAAGAACAGGTGTTTCTTTCAGAGTGACCAGGTATTGACATGTATTCCTGCTACAAGCAAGTGCCATCCAAGCAGTTCCCTTTGCTTCTTGTCAAACAGGCCTTTGTCTACTTAAACAGTTTGTGAAGACTTGGCAATGAATGTAAACAGACAGGAACTTATACATCTACTAAGTATGTATTAAGGTTATTCATTAATTATTAGGAGGAAGGCCCTTTTCCTCACACTGAACTCCAGTGGTATTTAAAAACAGTTTTGCCCAGAACATTCAAGTGCCTCTGTGTGTGTAGGATACTGTGGAGCAGGTGCCAGCGTACTTCCCAGCTGGCACGATGCTTCCCTAGCACTTTGGATGTTTATCACAGACTTGGAAAGGTGTGGGATCCACTGAACCCGCAGGGCAGTGAAGCTACAAAGTGTGTTTAACAACTGAGGTTGTGTCGGGCGGGGTAAGCCTAGCCCTGCTGTGCGTGTGGTGTGGACTCTGCTGGGGAACACAAGGCCCCAGAGAGGTGCCCACAGCATGTGGGTGCCGGGAAGAAAATTCAGTGATACACTTGTCTCTGATCCGGGACATAGACTCTGTACCTAAGAGGAAATTACTTCTGAAATAAGGGGATTTTATGAATGTTTAAAATGCCTGGCACATTAAAGTAATGATATTTGAAGTGTTTTGTCCCCTTTGGTTCTATCATCTTATTGTTGGTGTTGATGTTCTAGGATACCACTGGTTGTTTGAATCCATGATTTTGTTACCCAGAGGTAAGCAGACTTTCTGTAAAGTGCCAAGATAGAAAATATTCTAGGCTCTGCAAGCCATACAGGGTCTCTGATGCATTTTCTTCTTTGTGTTTTCCCCAACTCTTAGGAAATGTACAAAACATTCTTAGCTCAAAGGCCATACACAGATAGGCCAGATATGGCCATCATTGGCTGAACCCAGCATGTCATCCAATACATAAGCCAACAGATTGTCCCTGGTAACTGAGATGTACACAGGTTTTGAAAACCTTCAACATAATTCTAAGAATATAGAAGCCACACACATGTGTAGGGCTGTATGTGTGTGCCCACGGGAGACCCGAATTCCCTCAGCTTTCACCTCTCTCTGACCAGGAGGATCTTCATAAGCAAAAAATGAAAACTAAGACAGAGCTGTAACCTCCTTCCTGAGCATGTAGACATGCCCCCTTCCCTTCCACACACACCAGAGTCCCTTGGCAGAGACTAGGAGACTTACTAGTTCTAGGAAATCTCTATTCAATCAATTGACCGCTAAGTTAACTGAGCAGAGACTTCAGTAGCCACATACAACAAGGAATGCAGGTTCTACATGATTAGTTCAGGAAAGTCACTAAATAAAGAGCTACAACAATAAACCCTGGAAAGGGGAGAGTATCTGGTTTCCAAAGTTACCCTGATATACTATTAAAATCTTCCAATTTTCAACACAAATTATGGGATATACAAAGAAAAAAGAAAGTATGGCCCACAGAGGGAAAAGGCAGTCAATAGAAATGGTCCTTGAGGATGCCCAGGTATTGGACTTATTACACAAAGACTTTAACTCAGCTTTTTAAAATGGGTGTAAAGAACTAAATGAGACTAAGAATGATGTGTCATCAAAGAGAGAATATCCTTAAAAAAAATATAAACTGTGTTTTAAATAAAACCAAATAGAAATTTTGGCATTGAAAAGTACAATAATATAAATAAATAAAAATTCATTAGAGGTGTTCAAAAGCAGGTTTGAGCTGGTGAAAGAAGGAATCAGTGAATCTGAAGTAAATTGAGATTATCCAGGCTGCAGAACAAAAAGAAGAAAAATGAACAGTGCTCCAGAGATCTGTCCAGAGACATGTATGTGTACCAACATTTGCATAATGGGTCCTAGAAAAGGAAGGGGAAGAAAACACTGGAAGAAACAGTGGCCTAAAGATTTCCCAGTCTGATGAAAAACGTTAAAATGCATGTGAGAAATTCAACAAACTCTAAGTAGGATAGACTCAAAAGAGATCCATGTCAATACACATTAATCACTAAGAAAATAACTTCTGTACAGTTAAAAAGACACAGGAACTAAAGTGTTACACTAGAAAATAACAAAAGTGAAGGCATAAGGGGAGATATAAGTCAAACAGAAAACAGCAAAATGGCAGGCATAAATCCTACCTTATCAGAAGTTTTATTGAATGTAAATGGATTAAACACTTCAATCAAAAGGCACAGATGGCAAAATAGATTAAAAAATAAAACCAAAACTAGCATAATTCACCTCTATGCAATCTACTAAAGACACAAATAGGTGAAAGTAAAAGGATGGAAAGAGATATACTGTGTAAACAGTAACTCAAAGAGAGCTTGAGTGACCATACTAATATTAGACAAAATAAGCTTTAAGAAACAAAGTTGTTACTACAGGCAAAGGACATTTTTTAATGATAAAAGGATCAATCCCTCAGGAAGATATAATGATTATTACATATGCACCTAGCAAAAGAGCCCCAAGATACATGAAGCAAAAACTGGCAGAGTTGAAGAGAGAAATAGACAATTCAACAATATCGGTTGGAATTTTCAATCCTCCATTTTCAATAGTGGATAGAACAACTAGGCAGAATATCAATAAGAAAATAGAAAACCTATAAACTACTAGATCTGACAAATATCTATAGAACTCTCCACCTAACAGCAAAATACACACTCTTCTCAAGTGCACATAGAACATTCTCTGGAATAAACCATATGTTAGACCACAAACAAGCCTGAGTAAATTAAAAATGACCGAAATCATACTACATCTGTTCTCTGACCACAATGAAATGAATTAGAAATCATTAACAAAACTTTGAGAAAATCAGAAATATGTGGAAAATTTAAAATACAGACATAATCAATGGATCAAAGAAATAAATCACAAGGGAATTTAGAAAGTACTTGGAGATAAATGAAAATATATCAAAATTTATGGAATGCAGCTAAAGCTGTGCCTAAAGGGAAATTTATATCTTTAAATGGCTACATTAAAAATGATCTCAAATAGCTCGGCCGGTGTGGCTCAGTGGTTGAACGTTGACCCATGCACCAAGAGGTCGCCAGTTCAGTTCCCAGTTAGGGCACATGCCCAGGTTGTGGGCCCAATCCCCAGTGGGGAGCAGGCAGGAGGCAACCAATTGATGTTCTCTCTCATCAGTGTTTCTATCTCTCCCTCTCCCGTCCTCTCTCTCTAAAATCAATAAAGAAAAAATAAATAAATAAAATGATCTCAAATAAATAACCGTTAGATTTTTTCCACCTTA